TATATATATTTGGTTCCTCATTGGGTATTTTTGAACCTATGTTATTGAAGGCTAAACTGTGTTCATAGGTATGTTGGTAGATGTGGGAGACAGTAGGGGCTTTCAGGGAGTTGATCGGATTTAGAGTTTTGGTCTGTACCTGCCCAAGTGGAAAAGGCTTGTCTTGGTCAGAAGGTAAAGGAACACCTACCTGTACAGTGGATCCTCAAGTTAGGACTGGGCAGAAATACGAACAACTTGGGCTAATTAGGTTAATGGAAAATTCATCTGCTTCTTGTTATCTATGGCATGTACCCAGGTAAACATCCAGATCTCAGCTGTGTTGACTTAGTTACAACCCTTGGGAACCAATAAAGTTCATAAGGGCTCTACTGTAGTTCATTTTCTGGGGCCAAATGAAGTGTGCTTTTCATGATTGCTTTCTGCATTGCAAATGGTAGCAGGCCAAGATGTTCATGCAAGAGTGAGCTGGGGGATTGTGCCCTTGTTGTATGTCAGGGAGGGGACAAGGCTTCTTCCTGTGCGGTGGGCAGAAAGCTGAGAGTAGTAGACACAAAGAAAGGGAGTACTAACTAGTTCACTTAGGTATGCATTGCTTAAATAGAGACGTTGCATTTTCCAAAAAGTGTAGTTTCTAGGATCCTTTACTCTTTCTCTGTTTTTTCTGCACTGCTAAAAAGACTTCTGCCTTCTGCCTATATTAACCACAAGTTATCAGTCTGGTGGCTGGGATGGGGAGGTAGTGGATAGTCATTTCTGTAACTTCAGCCCTAGAGCAATCACATGGGCAGGGGTATGCCAGAGAGAATGGAGTTTTTCAGTGTTAACTCTTAACTGAAAATAAAGTGCTGTCCTTATTCTCCTGCAGGTCGGTGAGCTGGTAAAGGTTACGAAGATTAATGTGAGTGGTCAGTGGGAAGGGGAGTGTAATGGCAAACGAGGTCACTTCCCATTCACACATGTCCGTCTGCTGGATCAACAGAATCCTGATGAGGACTTCAGCTGAGTATAGCTCAACAAACAGTTTTGCTGACAGATGGGAACAATCTTTTTTTTTTCTATTGCCATCTATACAATTTTCTACAGGTGTCAAAAGCAGACTAGTTAAATATAAGCATTCTGTTGTTACCTGTGATGCTTTTTAGAGTGAACTCCATTCTAATTTCACATATTCAGGGTACGAAACTGGAGGGCTTGTGTGGTTAACTTCTGAGTTGGCAATTTTAGGTGGTGGAGACCATGCCTGTATCAGAAGGGATAGGTGACTTGCCTCCTTTCTCAGGCAATGCAGATCAACCTGTGGAAAACTGATGGACAGGAGAGAACTGTTACACACTGCTTACCCTGATTTACCCAGTTGTTTTGTTTTCATTCTGAAACCATACTATCAAATGGCAGTAGACTGTTCCCTTCCACCCCCATGAAGTAATCATGCACCATGTGAATAGTGCCCAGTGGGATTGCTTTTTCATTTATGGAACATGACCATTGTATGACTCATTCTGACATTTCAAATCCTGAGAATTCTGAGAACACTACTAGAGGCATTTGTCTTCCTTCCCAGTCAGTGCTTCATATTCTTTCTTGGGATTCTTTCAAACTTTGTCATTCTTCTCCCTCAGACCTACAAGTAGACTAATTTTTAAAACAGTGTATGTTTTCATTCCAAATGATAAACGGGATGTGCTGAGCACTTTATTCAGTGCATAGCTTTAAGCCAGTATTGGATTCACTAAGTGGACAGCCAAATTCCAGCTCTGCCTTCCCCCAAGGGGTCAGTAGTGGGTTTACATTGCTACAGTAGCCAACGAGACTCATGGATGATGGGATCCAGCCGGCCCGTTTCTCCTGAGTGCCATTATCCTAGTAGGAGACTCAGAATTCTCAAATTCTGCTTCGAGTGGAAGGACCAATGACTTGTAATATTCCATGGAAGGTTTCGGAGTCAAATTCTGCCCTCTGCATTATGTGCAACTTGTATAAAAGGCAAGTTAGAATTACATGAGTTTGGGGGTAGGGTTAGCTCTGAAAAATGTTTGAACCAATCATGAATTGCTTATGTAGTATTCATTTTACATGGCCAGAATTGCTTGAAGTATATCACATCATAAACTGCCTTCATTTTTGGCTCATTTTCTTTATATTCAGGTTTAGTTTACAAACCTTTTTAAGTATAGAATCGTTTATTTGGGGTCAGGTGCTCCAAAGAACAGACCCATGAGACCAAAAATGATTTTGGCTGTTTGGGCTATAACATGAAACATACAAAGTTAGTTTCCAGCTGATAAAAGCACTTACTGGTCTCTGGTGTAATATGACAGATAGAAACAATTTATATTTTGCGTTGGACCTCATCTTTTTAAAATAACTTAACTTTTTAATTGTTCTGCATAGGATAATATGATAAATTTGCATTCTCTGAACATATACCAAATCATGGTATCAGTGACTAGCACATTGCCTGGCACGCAGTCAGTGTGCAGATGTGTGTGAGTGAATGGGGGAGTGCAGAAAGAAGCTTGTCACGTGGCCCAGGGAAGCCAACTGGCACAGGATTGCACACATCATCACAGGCGACTAATGAGTTGACGCTAATTTATTTTTACCTCACACTAAGGTAATGCTTGATAAGACATTAATACTCAACTTTTAAAATGTTAGCACAGTGCTACTATGCACAGAGTAGGTGCTGAATAATGTTGAATGAACAGATTGCAATATTCAATGTAATTCCATCTGACTACTTTGTTAAATTTTCACTTAGCAAAGATACTGTAAAATCCAAATACACATTAAGTCCTATCTTCCTGGAAGTTTGGCATTTAAAATATTTGTAGAAGACCCTTGTTCCAGCTGGTTTGAATGTTTGTATTTTCCTTTGCCTTTGACGTCATTGGCTTGTGATGTCTGTTTTCATCATATGCAACATTAGTGGAACATGCAGCTCTACCCAAATGATAAGAATTTCTCAATTCTGCTTGGATTGTTTAGAGCCATCATATGAAATGTAGGGCTGGATTTGGCTGGGTGTGGCAGATAATTGGACCTCAAGAAATCGAAGGACTTCTTACAAGTATCTTCCAGAAATGCAAATGCTAGAATACTATTCAAGTGCATATGTACATCGTCACAGAGCAAAGTGACCTGAAATTGGCTGCTATATTTTATATGATCATTTCTGCAAAAGCCCATTTTTTGGATACTAATATTTGACATGGTTAATTCTTATTAATTTGTTGGAATTGTTTATTGTTAATAATGCAAATAGGTAATTTTTAATTATCCACAAGTAACATTTCACTATTAATGGTTTGAAATGGGTGATAAGCAAACCAATTTGAAATAAAATATGAACATGTGCCATTGTATTATAACACTATACACTTTCTTGACAGTTAAATTTTAAAAAAAAATTTTTTGTAGCATGTATTGTATATGTTTATAGTATATGTAGTAAATAAAAATATGGCCAAATGTTTGGCTTGGTGATCTTTTGGAGAATGTAATCTTTGAATATTTGTCATAAAAGAACTATATCTTTTTTCTCTTAGGGAATAGGAGATATGTGCCCTCACTACCCCATGAACAGTGTATCAAATAAACAATTATATACACTATGGATGTTTCTTAATGTGGGATAAAGTTGGGTGTGGCAATGCACGCCTATAATCCCAGCATTTGGGAGGCTGAGGCAGGAGGATCACTGTGAGTTGAGACCAGCCTGGGCTACATAGTGAGTTCCAGGTCAGTCTCAACTACATAGTGAGACTGTCTCAAAAAAAACATCAATAGTTCAAGATGAGCCCAAACTACATAGCAAGACTTTAAAAAAAAAATTTTTTTTTTTATCAAAGTGGGATTAAACACTGGTAATATTTTAAAGGGTCTCCAGAAATCATGAAATAATGATTTAAGGGGAACATAAGGAAAATCATTCTGTATATAAAGATGGAAACAAATTTTGTGGAAAGACCACCAGATTTATCCAGAAATGGATATATGTGGGCATAAAAAGGTAAGGCTATGGTGGGGGATTTATAGAGACATTTAGATCTTAGACACGAAGTCTTTAAAATGTTGGTGTAGCTACTCCATTAATTTCTCCTCTTTTATGTAAGTAGCACATGCTCAGGGTAGATAATACTGAAAATGACAACCAGAAAAGGTAAACATTGTGTTCTTGCTGTCCTTTTAAGGCATATACACCTAAAAGATTGATAATGGGCTGGGGATTTAGCTCAGTGGTTCTGCTGCCTTCCTTGAAAGGGTAAGATCCTGAGTTCAAGCCCCGGTACCAAAAAAAAGATTGATACCATACCATTAGTTTGTGGCCTGTGGGTGGTGAAAGTACCCAGAAAGTACCACTTTATCTGGTTTTGGTTTTGAGACAGTCTTGTGTAGTCCAGGCTGGCCTTGAACTGATGGCAATCCTCCTGCCTGGGCATCCCAAGTGCTGGATTACAGGCACATACCACACCCGGCTCTTTGTTACTTAGATAATATTGTGCCTTAGATTCAAAATACCACATCTAGTTATTACTGTAGAAATTGCAGTATGTCAACCTAAAGTTAAATAAGGAGGATTATTCCAAAAGGATCCAACTTTGGCATACATAAGCTTAATGAGGTGATTTAAGTGTTTCAGCTTTTTGTCAAACTGCCAGAACTTTTTAATATGTTGAGTGTTGGACTCCTTCAGTCTGGACTGCTCATAATTATTCATATTTTTGACCCTGACCTTCAAATGAAATTTTATCCATACAAAAGTGAAGAGCCAGACATGGTAGCACATGCCTATAATCCCAGCATTCAGGAGACTGAGGCAGGAGGATTGCCTTGAGTTTGAGCCCAACCTGGGCTACATAGACCCAATCTCAAAAACAAAACAGATAAGAGCTGGGGATATAGCTTGCAAATAACTTGCCTAGTATGCTCTAGATCCTGGGTTCGATCCCCAGCACCATAAAAAGGAAAAGAGAGGCCAGGCATGGTGGCGCACACCTGTAATCCCAACGATTCGGGAGGCTGAGGCAGGAGGATTGCTGTGAGTTCGAGACCAGCCTGGGCTACATAGTTCCAGGTCAGTCTCAACTACATAGTGTGAGACCCTATCTCAAAAGACAAAAAAGAAACGTATGTTATGGAAGTACAGGAGGAACAGAATGTGCACCCAGCTGGCTTTTGGTCAAGGGGATTACAGCGTTTCTGTGGATGGCCTGATTTGCATAGACTTTAGACCTGTATTAAATCCTAGTAAAGTGGGACCGTCAAATGTTGACTAAATATTTAAAGAAACACTCAGATCAGCCATCCTCCTGCGTTGAATTAGATTTTGGACATTTTCAGCTTCTGCAAGATGAAAAGAAACTTGGGGCCGGAGATTTAGCTCAGTGACACCACACTGCCTTGCAAGTGCAAGGTCTGGAGTTCAATTCCCCAGTACTGGGGTGGGGGTGGGAGGGTGACACACACTTGTGGGGACAGACTTGCTCAGTTTCTCCATTCCCTGTGGGGAAGTTTTTGTGGAGTTTCTAGCCTCATTTCAAGCCCCTGGGGCAAGTGACTGCCCAAAGGATGTAAGTAGGAACCAGGAAGGGAATGAAAGAAATCCTCTCTTCTTTCACCATGCTGCAAAAGCGCCAGGAAGATGAGCTTGGTGCTCTATAAAGGTATACTATAGAGCTGCTATTGGATTCCTCTAGGCTGGCTTCCAGTTCTTTGTACGGCATGATCCAATTTCCTGGAGTTACATGCCCATTTGCGCAGATTCCTATAATGCCTCAGTTTTGTTTTGTTTTTTGGGTTTTTTTGAGACAGGGTCTCACTATGTAGTTGAGTCTGACCTGGAACTCACTATGTAGCCCAGGCTGGTCTCAACTCACAGCGATCCTCCTGCCTCAGCCTCCCAAGTGCTGGGATTACAGGCGTGCGCCACCACGCCTGGCTTTCCCATAATGCCTCAGTACTGCTAAGCTTTCTGCCTCCAACCTGCCATGCGTCCCCAGTACCCCTGGTAGCTGGGCTTCCTGGGAAAGCTTTGGCTTCTTTGCCTGGCGTTGCCACTATGTCCACAGCTTGTCTTCACTGGAGCCATAGCAGGTTTGCCCTGTTCATCATTCCCTGACTGCATTGAGAGTACACATGAACCCAAGGATACCTCTAATTTCAAAGAAAGGGGCTACTTTAGGCTAGGCTCAGTGGCACACACCTGTCATGCCAGCTACTTAGGAGGCTGAGGCAGGAGGATTGCAAGTTTGAGGCCAACCTGAGCAATTTAACAAGAAACTGTCCTCAATTTATTTGTTCGTTTGTTTGTCCAGTACTGGGGAACTGACTCAGGATCTTAACACTTGCCAGGAAGGCACAGGGCTACTGAGCTACATCCCCAGCCCCTTTTTATTTTTTCTCATTGAGTTTATTGGTACATTTTATCTTTTTTAAAATTTATGCATTTATTTTTGGTTTTTTGAGTCAAGGTTTCACTGTGTACCCCAGGCTGGCCTTGAACTCACAGTGATCCTCCTGCCTCAGCCTCCCAAGTGCTAGGATTATACTTGGGTGTCACCATGCCTGTCCCAAATTTTAAAAAAGGAAAAAAGGCAGGGAATGGAGTTCAGTGTGAGGCTTTGGGTTCAATCCCACAGAAAAGGGGTACTTTAAAACAAAATACTCATGCATTATCATCAAAGGAGTTTGACTCCATATTTTGTTGACTGTTATATGGCCATGGGGGTTTGGATGCTTCATTGTCCAAGACTTCATCAAATTACAACACTCTTCCCACCACTCCTCCACTCCACCATACTGGGGATGGGACCCGGGGCACTCTACCACTAAGCCAATTCTCTAGTCCTTCTTATCTTATTTTGAGACAGGGTCTTGCTAAATTATATAGGATGACCTTGAACTTGAGATCCACCTGCCTGCTTCCTCAGTAGTTGGAATTAACAGGTGTGCACCACCATGCCTGGCTCAAATTCTAGCATTCTAAGTGTGGTGGCTCCTATGGAACAGGCCGCCCTCGCAAACTGTTGAACCCACTTTAGAATGCTACATTCTCGGGGAGGGAGGGGAAGACATTCATAACCCCTGCCAGGACCCCTGGTGGCTTCCTGAAGGTGTTTGGCCAGGCTCAGGGCATCACATACAGGTGAAAGTGCAATGTAGACTTCAGAACCTTGCCACCTCACCTGGTTGCAAAACTATACATGACACCCAGCAACTACTAGCCCTGATTATTACACTTAATATTGCTTGACCAACAGCTTTTAGACTGTTTTAGCTCATCATCAGGTCCTGTCCGCTCTACTTCCAAAATACTGTCACCCACTTACATGCCTCTTCTGACACCATCTAAGTAGCCATCTTTCCTTCAGCCACTGCAGTGTCCTTCCTAGTCATTTGTTTTCCCCAGTCAGTTCATGACAGAGCAACCAGGATGATCTTCCCGTAAGGCCCATGGACTGTGGCACTCCTGCAACACTTCGATGGTTCT